TATTTATTGTATTTATGGAGTTTAATTTTCAGGTATATGGTATTTATTCTGTTAATTAATTTAACTTAGTAAACTGTGAATTCAAGGTTTGTACCAAATTGTGATTTCTCCCTACAGTGGAACCCCTATAGAGGCGAATCAAAATCCTGCCACGTGAAAGTTTTTCTGTGTTTTTTAAAAACAACAACTATTTACGTACTAGGTTTTAAATTTAGAAAGAAAACTGACCTCGCATGCTCTCTACACTGACACGATGATGTACTGACATCATGGTCGAGGCCAAACAAGCTTCTCATGTTCAGCTAATAATATTTCCAGCTAGATATAAATAATACTGTTATATTATAAGCTTGCAGAAATATATGAGCCTGTCAACAGCGAGCGGAAAATTTTGACCTCCTCTTTAGAATTATTTCTCTTTCACTTGTAAAGGAAATTTGCGTGGATACTTGGGAAGCAAAAATACATTCTTATGTGTGTCTGTATGTTTACATGATGATGTGGTTATTTTGATCCCCATGGTTTTGCTGTCTCTTGCTACATTTGGAGGGAGTTTCTCCAAAACAGGGAGTGGCATGCACAGAAATGTTAGTGCAAGAGTTTTTGAGGGCATATGTGTGTGTGTGTATTTCTTTCCTTTGTGATTGGGTGTGCAAGGGCTCTATTTTTTTTTTTTTTCCAAATGGCTGTTTCTTCCATGACTTGTTTTAATTAATATAATATAACATGTCAGGGCTTGATGACAGAAGTGAGCTGATGTGCAATAAAGAAATGTTGGAAATACAATGTAATCTTCCACTTTAAGGTCTACTTTTCTTCTTAACTTAAAGTTTATTATTTGAATTGCAGTTCTAGGAGATGCATATTTTAAAATATAAATTAAAAAAAATGAATGCATGTATGAGCAATGCATTTTCAATAAAAAAAATACTTATCTATTTGCCATAATAAATGTCTAAGTAAAATAATGAAAAAAACAAACAAAACATAATCGTGTCCTGGCTAGACTTTCTAATTGGGCTTCAGCACACACCCAATTTTCATCTACCTTTATCAGTGTACTCTCACTGTGTACTTAGATAAAACTGTTACTGGCTGGATCATTAACCAAAGAGTCTTTTTTCTGCCTTGTCAGTCACGTAGTATCTGCTTTTAAACAGAGCTGACTCAAATGCCTTAACATCTGTGGTTAAAAATATACACAGTTCAGTACATTTTAACTTATCCATGGTTAGATCATCTCAACCTGTATACTAGGTCTAAGGTCTTTGCATGTGTGAAAGGTGGTTTTAAAATATTTTACATGTAACAGTCGTTTACCAGCAGCAGAGTTGACGTTGACATGTTCAGCAGAAAACTATGATGCCAAGATGATTCAAATAAAAAGGCGTCACACGTCAAACTTTAAAACATTTCCCTACAGCCCTGTACATGACAGACTGAAGAGAGACTTTTAAGGTTAGAGATGTGTGTAAAGTTTCCTTTCTGACTCTATAAGACTTGTGGTGGAAATATTGAGGTTTTTGACGATTTTAACATGTTCTACATACAAGTGAAAACGTAGAAATGACATGCTGATGAAGGTTCTCAGTTCTCAGGGTAGAAATGACATATTTTGAAGCCAGACTGTGTAATTTGTAGCCACTGGGGTTCTAAACCTGTAACTTACAGGTATAGCAGCCCTGAAACTAACGGGCAACCCTTTACTGCCGTAAAGCGGCACTCTGTCCCACATGAATCATTCAGAGATAGATCAGACCCACGTTTTAGAGGAGAGCAGTCTGCACAGAGCGTTAATGCGTGCCATGTGCTGTACGCTGAGATGAAAAATCATTTAAAACATCTCAAATGAAGTTATTAGACCAAAAGTTACAAAATGTTACTTAGAAAAAAAAAACGATTAATGAAGCTGCACACATGCTTTACATTCAAAAACAGGAGCTGCTGACTAAAACCAAGGTAAGTTCTGATACATTGTATTTAAACCAAAAAATACCATCAAGATGAATGGATTTTTAATGATTCCTCATGACCTGAAATAACACAAAGTCCACGTTACAATCAATAAACCTCTCTGACACATTGATCAG